ATTTTGCTTTAGTCGTTGGCTTACCTGTATATACAGTTGTGGATTTTTAAAGAGTGTTGGAATATATTGGAATCAGTCTTTTCTGCGTTTGATGATAATACACAAACATGTAACAGGCTAGGACGTGAATTCTCGTAAGTTCTCGTGCATTCTCGTCAGTTCTCGTCGGTCGGTTGGCGAGACTGGCGAGACTTCGACACCTCTCGGTACCGCTGCGTCACGAAGAAAGGATGACGCTGCTGAGCATGCGCACTAATGTCAGTGTCGATGCCCGAATCGTTCATCAAACCTAAAGGAAATTTAAAAAAAAACATTTCTTCAATCACTGTATCCTTTACAAATTTAAAGATTGTCAAGCTTTTAAGAAAAAATGATGTTTAGATGCTAAGATGGAATTTTTTTCTAACCTGAAAGTCCTTCGTCCACATAAGTGTGCAGTTCCTCCAGACTGCGGTTGATTCTATTGAACTCCCTCCCCACCTCCAGCGACAGACGGACCAGCTTGTTGTTAATGGCTGTTACGTCTTCTCGCAGCTCGGCCAGTTCTAACAAGTACACAAAGACATGAAATTCCATGCTGTTTCATTCCATATTATTGCACAGTATTAAATGTTACAGATGGACAAGAAAACACTATTGGTACGCTTGCCCGGTTTTTTTTTTGGCGACGTCTCAGGGAGGAGCCTAATGGTACAGTATTGTGTGGAGTTTGCAAGAATTCTAGGAATGGTACAGGCATGTTGTCTACAGGAATGGAATGTCCACAGGCATGTCTCTGACCCACATCTAAGTTCCTGGAAACCCTTGGGAAGACCTCTCTGCCCCGGATGGCCATACTTTCTGTGACCCCGGGGCTCGTTCACTATACACTCAGGGGAGGAGTGCACTGTATCTGTCAAGTCTTCCTAAAAATCATGAAATGATGGCAGTGCCACGCAAACGATAACCATAACAGCAACCACCGTCGCCAAGGCAATGTATGTTTTCATTACCAGTCTTGTTTTTTTTCTAAAAGATTTAATTCAATGATGTATGAAACAGTAGCAAAACTGTAACGGTACCTTCTCTGTCCACCGCTGCCTGCATTCGAAGTTCTTCCTCTAGACGGCTTTCTTGGCTCTTGGCTGAGACTTTTCCCGCTCTTCTTTTCTGCCCTTTTGTACTGGAAGTTGCCTTTCGTGGCTTGCTCTGTCTCAAGGTGGACTGGAAGATCCTGTCAGCTTCTTCTGAATTCCTTGTTTCTTCTGTTGACGTTGTACTAGTACTTGGTGGTTCTGGCGCTATCAGGCCTCGTCTTGGCGCCAAGTCTCGCCGTGGGCCCAAATCTCGCCGGGAGGGGAACTCTCGCCGCGATGGGAAATCTCGCGTGCGCGTGAAATCTCGTGGTTGGTCCAGATCTCGCGTGGAGATACGAGGGAGAGTCGGGACCGTCGACTTTTTCTTTCTGGGCGACGTCACTATCTCCAACTGCACGTGTATCGGGACGTTGTCTCCGAAAGTACGAGCAATGGCGTTACGACAGTCGAAAGCTGCAGTCAGAATTTCGGGCAAGAGATTTAGAACTCCCAAATTTTCTTTCTTTACCCTCAAGTCGGGCGCATGTTCCAAGACGGCGTCCGTCACAGAGCGAAGGAAGTCGTTGTCTCCTTGCAAGACCCTACCCCACCTTCGAAACGCGTCTTCTACAGTCTTGAACTCACTACTTACGAGTTTCCGTAACCTTGGTATGATGTTTGCCCTCACTTTCTTGCGAATGTTGGCGAGTTTGTCCAAGAGTGAGAAGAAGTCACGCAGGACGGCCACTTTGCCCTTGAAGTAGACATAACTTCTCACGGCGTCCAAGGTCACAATGTCGGACCCTTTGCCGAGGTAGCGCGTTTTTCTCAGCTGAGCGGAAACGTTGTTAAGCGTGGTGATGAAATGGTCCCTCTTGGAGTCGAAAGAAATGTACTCGTTGTACATCTGTTGGACGTCCCTGGTGAGACGGTGGGCCTCCCTCCTCACCGCACGCACGGCGGATTCCTTCCGCGGGGACATGTGCTCCGGGGCCCGAAGAGCCAGCGCCATCCTCCCCTTGATCTAGAAACAAGAATATTTTTCTAAATGGCTAGAATATCAACACAAGAAAGCAGCAATACACCTAGTAGGTATACGTGTTTTATAGTCTCTACCAGACTCCTTTGCAGGCTGAATAAATTGGGTATATACATGTACATAAACTAGGAATTGGCAAGGCATAGCCGGCCATAAAAGAATCAGTTTGCCGTCCCTTTTGGGCCAATTTCTACTGTTTCTCAGGCTGCAAAGGAGTCTGATGGAGACTACATGCTTCACATGTCCTCGTTCTAACCATGGACGTAGAAAAAGAGCTACCTCCATGTTCTAACAATATGATTAATGATGATGACACATGTACATTTGTGCCTGTGAAATGTATAGTCACGGTTTTCTGCCATTATAGGGACAGATATGTACCAGCTTAAATGGTCCTAAAATGTACGGTAATCCCCGTGCTACATAAACAGCAGCGCCTGTATGTCAAACAAACATTAGACTCAGGATATCAAACACTGCTTATCTGGTTAGAAGAGGTTGTTTGGGGCGGTTGTAATACGTTACTATGACTTAAGCCCGACTTAAGCCCGAACGTCGACGAACACCAGCCAACCACAGCCGACCTTGCTCCAGACCTACGTACTCTTCAAACAGAGAATTATTAGCCTCCATAGCTTACCAAAAACTGGGGGTTTGGGTGGTCTTCAGAGTCTTTGGGAGCTTGTATGTGCTATTTTCTGATTGCATATAGACAACATAGCCGGCCTGGTTGAAGTACCCCCATTTTTTTAGAACTGGGCTAATCAGAAAACAGCCGAAGGCCACCAAACCCCCAGTTCTATAAGCCTGCTACAGAGGTTATGAATTAGGCTTATTTTTGGCGTGATTTTGGTGTTGTTATCGTGCTTTTTTGCACTGGTAACTTGTCCTCGCCAGCTTGGGTGCGACAAACTTTGCCATCACTATGCTAGGGTAAGGCAAGGAGCGTATAGGGAAATATAAGTTCCTTGAGTAAGGTGTAGCGCTGTAAGTATACAAACAAACGTTATACTGAATGCTGACTGAAACAGAGGAGTTAAACAATGCATTAGGTCTGGAGTTGTATCGTCAACATGACGAAACATCCGCCATGTGGGTGACGTCATTTCAAAAACATTTTGTGGACCAATGCCCCCCTCCCCCCATTCCTCACTTTACCACCGTGGTCACAAGTCAACAGTTCTACCTTTTGTACAGTACTTGTAAGTAAGAATACACAATGCAGACTTCTAACGGTTCCAAAGAGAATATATCGCTTTGTAATAAAGACTATCATAATAGCTTCTGTTGAAGCAAAACGTGTATGGACATAAGAGAAATAATGACAACTTTTAAATTACTCACTTACCAACGTATCACTCACTACGTTTACAGTACTACCCTTCGAATTCACAGCAAATAATTTGACTTTAAATTTGCCAAGGCACACATATAGTTACAACTTATAATACACTGGACATGAGCCTTCACATATACTCGTAGGGCTATGTAATGTTCACGTACGTATAATTCACACTTTGTAAAATAAAAAGATCAAGATACCGTCACATGCCCATGTCCTTTCCGTATTCACAGGGGTTGGCAACAACAACATGGTATTTTAGGTGGCTCTGAACGTCATCATGAAGAGCTAGTAACGATTTTCTATAGTCAAGTACTCCCAACTGCTCACTAAGGCCACAGCATGTAAATTTTATGGATGACATCCTATGCAGACTACAAATCTAATGCGAGCGGGCAAAAAAAAACAAGGCGGGCGGAAAAAAAAACAAGGTCCCTACATTTCAAAATTTTGACTCAATGGTACAAATGGTTTTTATTCAGTGGGAACGTCACATATACATAGCCAGCATCACATATCACTGCATCAAAGTAAGCTTAAGAAACAAAACATTAAATCAGAGCCTTTTCTTGTCTCCTCTCTTCATAGTCATCTGCCATCCACGTTCCGGCATGGCAACAGACATCTTTGCCCATTTTCGGCATGTTGACCACTGTCAGAAGGCAACAAAATTTCTTTTTTCCCCAAAAAATCTGGCGAAAATTAATGCGCGCGCTGATGTCATCCATAAAAGTTACTTGCTGTGGCCTAAGAGGTACTCTGCAACCACTTGATACAAAAACAGGGAGTATTTGGGCTCAATTGCTCATGGTTCTTCAAAACATACTTGACAAAGTAGCCTTTTTTTACAAGTGTTTTTCTGGATCGATGATCAACCGTTGAAAGCAATGAGTAAAAAACACATGTGTACTTGATGTTGCTTTTTTAAAATGCATAGTACTCGGACAAGTGGCCATTGTTAAACAGGCTTTTAAAACCTATTTTAGAATAGATGTTTGTTGGTGTCGTATAGCTTTAGTACGCCTTCTTGAATATGACTAGCGTATATGTGTTATAGGCCACTAAAATGTTGCGACTTCGCATTAGGCCAGTAATTATCAATGGATGACATCAGAGCGCGCATTGATTTTCGCCTGATTTTTGGGAAAACAAGAAATTTTGTTGCCCTCTGACGCCGTGGTCAACAAGCCGAAAATGGGTAACGGCAGAGTGCTCGACTTGGAACCAAGAGGTCTCGGTTTCGAGTCCTGATCTTGTGACCTTGGGAAAGGCACTTTACACTTTCCTCTATAGCTCAAGTCAAAATGAGTATTATATTGTCCTATTCAGTGTCCTCTGCGTTGGTGGCGGCATAAAATAAGTTGAAAAAACTTAATTGTGTCGTCATCATGTCTAATTATGAAATGCTGGAATAGAAAAAAATAACTAGATCACAACGTACGTAACGTTACACACACCTACACAACAACAACTAATGACTGTAATACATAGTTAAATGGGCCATACAGGACAAGAATTAAAACGTTAATACGACACAAGAAGAGATAGAAAGTACCTTTTTGTCCGCAAGCTCTGCTAGCTATGGAGCAAAATCAGCTAGCTTCTTTTCTGTACCGATCCAGTAGGCAAAAGTGTCTTGTAGTGCGTTACCAACGATACAAATACCCCTCCGTGAGGTAATAACTATACCTGGATCTATCTTAAGTGTTGTTTGTGCCAACTTCTTTATACATGTCCAAACTGTTGATGGTTTCGCCATTACCATATTTCCGTCGTTCAGAACAAGTGTAGTTATGCTGACCTGGTGGGGAATTATAATGATGTATAATGAGAAACATGGTCATTAAAAGTAATGCTTTTTTCGGCTTTGTGACATTAGAAAAGAAATAAAACTGAACACAAGGGTTCTAAATTTAGCTGTTTTATCTTTTATTTTTGTTGAAAACTTACATGTTTTATCATATGTATGCCTAGAATATCTATATACCCGAATATTCGTGCAAATAGTTCCAAAACCTTTTACAGAATGTATCCACTTTTTAACAAATGTATACACAAGGAAATCTCTAATACCTCTAACGCTACTACAAAGCGACTTAGTTTGTTAATGAAGTTAATTTATTAACCCAATCAGCTGCGACTAGGAACTAATGAATTTACTCAGTAAGCCTAAGTTAGTAACTGTAAGTGTGTACATGCCTTCGTGACATCCGGGAGAGTTCAGAGGAACGCGTATATTTGTCAATTTCGTTGCATCAACAAGAAAACATACATGCGTACAGTACATAGCAGCAAGAATTCAAAGATCTCATACCTCCGTGAAGCATTTATTTGTGAGTTTTTGTTAATTTCGTGTTTAATTCATTGTTGTGAAGAGATCAATGATATCGATTCTGTTGATGTATTTTTCCACTGGCCCGTCATGAGACAACAGATATACATGTAGCAGGAAATAGAATACGGGAAATGAAATAACCTTTGTTGTGACCTTCCTGTGACCTTTGACCTAACTAGTAGTAACTTTCAGTGTCCCGGATGCTAATAGCGATGGAAATACAAACTAACACGCAGACAGACCAAAAACGATACCCGCCTTAACAAATTTGAACATATGCTTCAGTTTGCGTGCACTTCAATTTTGTTTTCTTATCATTTACTCACATAATTTTGTATAATGTGGTATTGTACGACCGACGAATGCTTACAACAATTTTGTATGTTGCGGGGGAGACAACTAGTAGAGGTTAGTAATAATCGTTTGTTAATGAAAACGTTTGATGAATTTAGCTATTAAACATTCTATCATGATTGCAGCGCTAAATGTTAGGTAAGTTAACAAATTTGTAAAAATCGACAAGAACGTCTGTGAGAATTAGGAGAGTAGAAACAGAAAGACACTCCTGGTCCCGGGCCGGGGATCGAACCCACGCCAAACCCGGGCACCAGTCCATAACCCAGACGCCCTAACGATTCGGCTAAAAGGTCTAGACCGGGTCAGTTGGTAGCGCCTATAAACCTCCCACTGTTACACGTCTAGTCTTGACTTTGACGACGCCAGAATGCTTCTGCCTTTCGTGCAAAGTCCCGGATGTCCTGAGAGAAGAGGTCTGGCACCTCCAGGGCGGCGAAGTGTCCCCCTCGCGGCATGGTGGTGTACTGCAGCAGGTTGCGGAGACGGTCGTGACACCAGGGCTCGGGTGTGTGGAACAACTCGTGAGGGTAGTCAGCAATGGCGGACGGTATGTCGATAGGAATGCTGTAGAAAACGAGGAAAACAATCTTTATGATTTTTTTCATTTTCATGATGTATCTGACTGTGCGATACATTTTCATAAGACTTCAGTTTAAGCTCCCAAACGTGCAAGTCATTTTCATTCTATACCCCTATGTGTGAATTAGAAACTATTAGGAACCTAAGTGGCATGTTTAGATCATGAGATATCAAAAGGATACCTAGGAAAGCCGCCAGGGGGCTCAAAGTCTAATCATTTCTACGTCTCATCAAGACCTACACATCTACCAAGTTTCATGACAATCCACTTAAAGCCTCTTGAGTTATCGTGCTAAATCAGATGCAAACATGCAAACAGACGCTATGGAAAACCTTCTTAACGAAGGTAATAGAAAATTGCCGTACGCGTGAGCGGCGGAGATGATGGGGAACTTGCGGGCGCTGATGGTCTCCCTGTACAGCCGGAGGGTGGAGACAACCGTCCCCGATACCCAGTATATCATCACTGTCGTCAGCAGCTCGTCCTGGAAAAAATACACACAAAAAAAACTAGAAAGTTAACATTTGCAAAGCAGATTAATAATGCTTATATACCGTCACATGGACTAGCCAAACAAACTACATCTCTGATTATTGTTACTCAAACACATTCAAATTAAGTATGTGGAGAGCAGCCCCTCTAAGACTCTAAGTCTGTCCTGCTGCATAATGTAACACAACACCACGGGGTGTCTGATACAGCACCAGTTACCATGGTGACAGACGTCTGGTCCAGGTCATTGACTTTATTAATTTGGAGAAGAAGAAGAAGAATTTAAAGAAGAAGAAACTGAGCAAAAACAATATGTTTCATTTTGCAATTATCTATCAACATACAAAAATAACAAAAAGGGCAACAACTGATCTTTAACAAATTAAAAGATTTCCGAATCAAAACGGAGTATAGGTAAAAATAATTACAACTATCTTATAGCAACTGGAAGTATATCTCAACACACATGTATTTTGAAAGCACAATGAAAATGAATGCCATTTTGTCGTGGACTATAGATATGATGTTTCACGTAATGCATTTTAGAAGGGAAGGAGACAGAATCGTAAAAAAATTCAAGCAGAAGTGATCTCCAATATCCAACACTATAGTTTCTAGACCTTGTTGTGTTACCTTAGTAAAATGTTTCTCCAGCCCTCCGTCCGGTAAGTGAGAGAATGTGGGGTTAGTCCAGGAGGCGTATTTCTCCAGTATATGAGCAGCCATTCCTACAGGGGAGTCAACTAAAGCGTGTCCTGAAACACACCAGCAACAAGAAATCAAAGGCTTTCGTAAAACATGTTTATGATTTACTCTATTTATTTAGTTCAGGAAAGTGATTTACCGGTAAAAATATTCTGACTGGTTCACATTGCACAGCACAAACTACCAAGGATTCTAGCTTGGCCGACTTGAATTTGGGCACGGTTTCTAATTAATAAGGAAAGTGCGGTGCGCGGACCAGGTGTGAAGACGGCTAGATTTTCCTCGAGGAAGGTGACAGGCAGTCGGCTGAATAAATCACCTGCTTGCGTAAAAAGAGTCTCTTTACTCAGTAACCTACAAACCTAGCTGATATAATATTCACAGCTATGCAGAAACACTCATAAGGCCACAGCAAGTAATTTTTATAGATAACATCAGCACGCACTGATTTTGTAAAAAAAAAAAAACACAAAAAAACAGGAAATTTTGTTGATCGCCGACGTGAAAAACATGCTGAAAATGGAGAAAATGTTGTGAATGCCCATCGGATCAGAGTCCGTCAGCAAACCGGCAAACTTAAGGCACAATTGCTCGTGTTTGATGGTACATAGGTATGGTGATACTGTTAAATGCAGGAATGAAGACCTGCATGTTGGTTGTGATATCATGTTTTGTCGCCTCAATTCTTGTTTAACAACTTATTTTGTTTATTATGTCAAAATTCTCAAACGTAGGAGTCTTGTTTTTCGGGGCCCACCTTTTTTTTATCACCCTATGGCATTAGATTTGAAGTCTGAGAAAGATGTCATCTATAGAATTGACTTGCTGTGGCCTATTCACACATGTCTTACCTATGGTGTGTGGGCGGGTGGCCTGCATATGGAGGTACCCAGTCTCTGACAGGATCCACAGAAATCGGTCCCACAGCGGATACACCTGGTAACAACGGGTTTTGCAGTCACGTGACTATGACGTAAGTTGTGTCCGCCATGTTGGTGGGTCAAAGACATTAGAAGTCCTAAAAGTTGATTTTCTTTGAATATAGATTAGATACTTTGTCCATATCCATTGTTCAATCATTTAGTCACATGCATGCAGTTAGTAAGTCATGAATCGACTCTTCATGTGTATTTTGATTCTAGTTTTGACAAAATAATGATATTAAGAATGAATTTAAGAAAACACCTTTTGATAGTCCTCTTCAGACATTCCGATCAGAGACGGGAAGACGCTCCCCACTAGCAGCTTGACGAGGAAACTCGTCTCCGTGTTCCCGGTGTACATGTTCAGGTGGATCCCGCGAACTACCCTGCAAGAAATAAACTATGCATTTCTGTAGGGAAGTATCCAATACTATGAGGCAAAGAAAGGACGGTTTATAGTAAGCCTTAGACGTATAATCACTCTCAATCACTCACTCACTCACTCACTCTCTCACTCCCATAGCTCTACGTATAATGTAAGGACATAAAAGTATAGTTTACCTCTCTATCTATCTCTTTATCTATCCATGTATGTTTACGTCTCTCTCTCTCTCTCTCTCTCTCTCACTCTTTCGTTCTCTCTCTCTCCCTCTGTGTGTGTGCGTGTATGTATGAGCCTACATGTACGTGTATGTGCTTGAGTGCGTGTTTCTGTGTTTCTCGGCTTCAATGTATTGTACAAAGCCATACTTCACTACTTAGTTAATTCTAAATGAGGCACGTGGATGATGCCTACGTGAAGGAACGTAGAAAGTGTCATAAGCTTATCTGCTTCCCACCCGAGCAAATCTCTGCCCCGCACCTCAAATATTTGCTGTAGACAGTCCAACGTACAGGTGTGTTTGAAGAGTTCTAGATTACGTGAAGTTTTCAAGGCTATGTTGCGAGGTTACTACGGTCAGTGTTACAATGGTCGTGTAAGATGATGTAATATTAGGTCACATGAGGCAAACAGAGGCAAAGGAGATATAGGTTATTGTACAAGCTACAAAAAATAGAGGGCTGTGTGGAAGATACTGATGAGCGAGTGAGAGACAGAGAGGAAGAGGGAGAGAAACAGACAGACGGATATATAAAGGCAGGCAGACATACAGAGCCATGCGGGTAAAGAGAGAGAGAAAGACAGATAGAGAGAGAGAGGAAAAGAGACCGACAGGCAAACAGTGATAGGAAAAGAGAATGACATAGAGTGGCATAGAGAGAGATACAGAGAGAAAGAGAGATACAGAGAGAGATACAGAGAGAAAGAGAGATACAGAGAGAGATACAGAGAGAAAGAGAGATAGAGAAAGAGAGACATATAGAAAGAAATATAGAAAGAGAGACATATAGAAAGACACGGGCATATAGAAAGAAGGAGAGAGACATGCATAATCACACAGATAAAAACATGCTCTCTCTCGCTCTCTCTCACACACACACACACACACACAAACACACACACACACACACACACAAACACACACACAGAGAAAGAGAGCGGAAGGGGGAAAGGGAGAGAAAGAGAGGGAGGGCGAGAGAGAGTCAGAGAGACTGAGAGGGTCCTACTGTACACCCACTTCGGGTTGAGCATGGCCATGACAGAGACGATGACACTGCCGTGGTCCCCGCCCTGTACGTAGTACGCGTCAAACCCGAGTCTGTCCATCAGTTTCAGGTACAGCACAGCCGTGGCCGAGTCTTCCAGTCCTGGGGGAGACAGGACCCCGTAAGGCCATGTTAATTTGATTATATGTATGATATCCATGAATTTTCGTCGGTTTCCAAAAAAAGGTTTTCCACCAGACTGTTACTAGTAATCATACAAAGCAACTGCAAAATTAGCAACTTGATATGCTTAAGATTGCAAAAAATATATATTGGAGAACGATACTAACGTCTGAATGTAAGAATGCAAAAATCAATTCCAAAGGAAAAAAAAATGAAAATAAAGTTTCTATTGTTCACCTTTATTGTACATTTTCCCCACTTGGCTAAGTACAGGTCACAAAGTACATTATGTAAATCGCTATCATAAAACGCACAAAAATCCACAATAAATCCACAATAAATTGTACCTCGTCTTAAGGTGACTCACCTGGTTTGCTAGCAGGTTGAGAAAAGCCGAACCCAGGGATGGAAGGTACAATGACCTCAAATATGTCCTCCTCGGTGCCATTATGTGCCAAGGGGTCCGTCAGTACTGGAATGACCTTGTAGAATTCGAAGAAGGACCCGGGCCAACCATGTGCCAAGAGAAGAGGCTTCGAGCTCTGGCCGGGCTTCAGCTTCGGTTTCACGTGGATAAAATGTAGGTCAAGCCCGTCAATTTTTGTCTTGTAGTGGTCGAAACTGTTCAGCAGTGCTTCTTGCTTGCGCCAATCGAAGCCGTCCTTCCAGTAAGTAACCAGTTCTTTCATGTAGTCCAAACCGAAGCCGTACTCCCATTGGACGCCGTGGAAGTTGTCCGGAAAGCGGGTGCGTTCCAAACGATAATTTAGGTCAGCAAGGACGTCGTCTGAAACGTTGAGCACGAATTTTCGGACGGTTTTGTCCTCCTGGGCCGGTCTCTCACCCGTACCCCAATACTCTTCGTCTATCTTTGGAACTTCTAAGGCTTGATCATTACGTAAGTAGTTGAGAAGAGATCCTACAACCACGGCACTCGCTGCAAGAAACACAATAGATGTTTTAGACATCGTGTCCTAGAACTGATCTCGCACCAGAAGGTCCTGGGTTAAATCTAACCGGGGGGTTTATTTGCAATAAACTTTTATTAAAGTGCACAGTGTTAACCATTAAAGTATTGACGAATCAGAGAGGTTTACGTTTACCTAGTTATACGTATCACATGTCATATACACTTTGATCTGTAGTAGATACGTAAAGTTTACATACGCGTCACATTGTTGACTACTCAAACACGTGTTTTGCGTGCGTGTTTTCTTATCCCCAGTAGCGAACAATTAAAACAAACAACGCGTGTAAACAAGTCATTCGATGACGCCCGATTGTTTTCTTATTGTAGCATTATCTTAGATTAGTAGAGGAAGAACTTTGTAGTACGATATCTTACGACATATTATCATCGGCCAATCAGAAGGCTTCATTTCCCATTGGTTATCATGCCATAGCCTCAACAAGTGGTCGGTTATTAGAATAACCGACCACTTTTTGCGGATAACCACCTCATAAACCAACTCGTTCGCTACGCTCACTTGGTGGTTTATTCGGTGGTTAGCGCGTCAGGTGATATTTCGTGGCGGTTTATGACAAATTTCACCTCAAACGACCCCAAAACCCTTTCGTCACTTTTTTTATCGCGCACTACCACCCCCGGTCACTGAAAAACTGGGGTGTGCACCGATAACCTCGTGAGAGATAAAGAATTGGTAGACTAATATAGACTAATACATGTAGATACTTCAATGTACAAAAGTTCAGTGTGATTAACCTAAACCCCAGTTACCTCCAGCACTTTGCTCTGACAATCAATGGATACCCTAAGGCCTAGGAAAAAATGGTGTGTTTCCTGTTTCCCGACCGACCCTAGAAAAACTGCCGACCCTAGCCTTTTTTAGGGGTGAACCCCTGCAAGGGACATACATTTTCGAGCTGATCGACCTTTTCTAGCTCCATGATCTGACACCTGAGTGATGAAACACTGTACAATCAGGTTTGCAGCATTGATATTGAAAATATAAGTTTCCTCGTGCAAGTTTTACTTTTAAACTGTATTGTTGGATCACTAGAGATCGCCGAAGTCTAAAAAAGAGTAAAAAAAATATAATCCCTACCAACCGATCCTAATTTCTACAGAACTCAGAAATAGAAAATACATCATTTTTTTCATAGGCCGAAGTCTAAAAAAAAAAGAGAAAAAAAAAAGGCTAATCCCTACCTACCGACCCTAATTTTTACAGAACTCAGAAATAGAAAATACGTCATTTTTTCCTAGGCCAAAACAGTTGGCCTTGGACGGTTATACTTTGACCCTGGACTCGATGACGACCGTGTTAAAGCACATTTTGAACTACAGTTAACCCCAACCATATTTGCTCTTAAGGTCAGTGAACTATCAATCGTAATACTGTAATTCACATCATGTTCACGGTGACAAAAAAGTTCACGGTCTTAGAAAAATGAACGGAACTATACGTTGACGGTCAGCGATATATTTGTTAACAAGTTCGCGGTACAGAAGTGACCGTGGGGTCGTGTGGTGTAGCGGTAGAGTGCTCGACTCGGAATCAGGAGGTCCCGGGTTCGAGTCCTGACATGCCACCAATCCCTTGGGAGAGGCACTTTACACGACTTCGCTCAGGTGAAAATGTGTATTGTATTGTCCCGTGTTGGTGGCGGCATTAATATAAGTTGAAAAAACTTGAGTATGCCGTCATTACGTCTTGGCATTAGATGTTGAAATATAAAAAAAAACAAGAAGTGACTGTGAAAACCGTGCAGTACCATAAAAAAATTAGGAATTAAAAAGAATCGTATAGTTGACAGCCAATCTTACAGTATGGCGAGTCTATGTATATACTCGTATGCAGTGTTTCAAAGACCCCGCTCACTAGGCAAATAAAAAAGTAACGAGCTTAACTATTAGCGCCATCTATCGACCCAAATTTTAATGCAGCTCTTAGAATATTGATTATATCGAAATGGCAATTTTTTTGGATAACAAATAGGTAGTCATTTATGTTATGCATTCTTGTTTCACTTGCCATGCACACGACACATTAAATGGTCTAAATGGTATCCTAGATATTGAAGTTACTTAAGTCAATTAAGCTCACTGAACTTTATTCAATGCCATCAGAAAGGTATGCATGGCACAGTAATCAAGACTGGAATGCATTCTGTGTAAAATTACTTAAATGGGCATGGAGAAGGGACAAAGCCCTCATTTTACAATTGTACCAGGCTAAAAAAAGTCAGCCAGAGCAATCAGCAAAATTTGATTGACATTTACATGATCACAGTGCATAGTAATTTCTAACAATCAACATCATTTAACACCTACTTGTTACAATAGCCTTGTTTGTGTGCAAATAATTTGACTTGCACATGATTGTATGATAATCGATAGGATAACTATTTACATCATAAAGCCCAATTATATCATATTTTTATCATCCTATCTCTTTCATACTGCTTGCTGCATGCATAGTGCATACTTAATGGGCTACTGGCATATTCTAATGCTGCCCAACATTATTGTCTGATTGAGATACAAATGCAACTTATGCATGATGTACAAAATGAGTAATAAACTGGTAGACGTACCAACTACTGAGTACATGTACCTACAATGTAATACCAGCCCAGAAAAGAACATGAAATAGTCATGCCTTCAGGTACCAGAGTTATCAACCAAGGATCGAGGTGTTCAAAAACTCATTCTTTCCTTTAACTACTGCAGAGTTACCAAGCACAGTAGGGGCATGATCATTAGATAGCTTTAAACAATGTCTAGAGTTAGAAGTTCAAGGGTTAGGTGTAACAAGTCGATCAGTGTAATGTAGCCAGCTGCCGCCGCGCCACGTGTCTGTGAAGCTGGTGTGTTTTGCCAAAGGGCGGTTATACCGGCTATACAGATACAAATAGTTGACTGTTTCATCAAGTACTTAGTGACACTGACAATATCACCAGGTATAGTGATTGCTTGCTAAGAAAACAACTAAAATGCATGCATATACTGTGAGACAACTTGGCAAATATCGCCTATCAGTCTTTGGATCTATCAAGATCGACTTTCGACTTTCCTGACGAAAGCGCGGATGTCTTCGGCCAGTAAGGCGGGTTTCTCAAACGCGGCAAAGTGTCCTCCGTCTGGCATGAGAGTGTAATGGACGAGGTCTGTGTAGAAGAGACGACACCACGCCTCCGGGTTGTGGCCTAGCTCGTGTGGGAAAGCCGCCATTCCGGTCGGCACAGTCACTTGCAAGCTAATACAGTGAGAAAACAGTTATGACGTACATCGTAACTTATGTAGTAACTTAATACATAACGTTACATGTATTTTGTGCATGTGCGTACAGAGGTGGGGTGAATCCGGAAATGACCACTTTATTTACCTGTAGATATAGATGTAGCACAGCAATGTAACACTTGTACCTCAGCTATCTAACTTAGTGCATGATATATGCAATAAAGTTCATTGTCATTTATGACAATATGATGAAGCCAACCTAAGATAACCCCTGAGAGTGTAGGATATAAAATTTATAGCAATCCAGGACTGTGACCACTTACGGGAGCACAATTTTCATCTGCTCGTCTCCCATAGCGTCCACAGCACAACTGAAAGGACACGAAAGCAGCAAGCTTGTTGCAGCATGTTGGTCTTTTGCAGCACTGTACTGAGTTCTTGAGTTTTGTGGAGCCTGAGTGTAGCCTGGGTGCCGTACTCCATAGTTACCGCCAGCTATAGTAGCTCCCTGCCTAGCTATTGGCGGTAGCTGCCATGGACTATGTAGGATGATACCCAGGCTTTTGCCATTGAGTTGTGTTTTTATTTGAGAACAGGTGAAAATCATTGTGCACGCAGATCCTTAGAATTAAATCAGGCCTTAATCTAGTACCTGGTTGTTTCCATTGCCTTTCCTTGAAATGTCTCCTTGTAGAACCTCATAGAGGAAGTGATGGTACCAGTCAGCCAATAGATCATCACACTGGTCAGCAGCTCATCCTGGGAACAAGAACACACAGATTACACTGGGAAGGAGAACAGAATATATATGGGGAATACTAGCACGTCGGCAGAACGTACTGCACCTGCTCAAAGCCCGTAATGTATTGTACATAGCACTTTGGCAGAACGTCTCATATAAGGTCATATTTGCTCATATAAGGTTAGCATTCCTTCAGTAGTTTTCAAATGTTATGTCAGAAAAGATATCGTCTGGAACAGGCAAAATTCTGATGCAACGTTGACCAAAAATCCAAGGAAAACTGCGAAAATCCAGGGTTCTGCGCAGGCACAGTACACTCTGCCAACATGCTGGGAAGACTGGGAATGAGAATATGCAGATGAGGTTGCCATGGGAAGGAGAACAGGAAGCTGATTGGCTGAAGCAGGAAGCCTTTAAACATAGTGTCGGTACCTTGGTGTAGTACTTTTCCAGCCCTCCATTAGCTAACTCCTTGTTTGCTGGGTTTGTCCAGGTGGAGAATTTCTCCAGGATGTAGGCAGCCAGTCCCACGGGCGAGTCATTCAGGGCAAAACCTAAAATATACACAAGATTGATATTTTATCAATTGATTAACTAACCTAGGGAATTGGGTCTGTGTGTGTATGTGTGCTTGTGTGTGTGTATGTGCAAATTATGTGCATGTGTATATGTGTGTATGTGTATGTGTGTGTGCATGTGCATGCGTATGTTTACAAAAATGTATGTGTGCGTGTATGTGTGTGTGTGTACGTGTGCATGTGTGCGTGTGTGTGTGTGTATGTGCATGAGTGTGCATGTGCATGTGTGTGCATGTGTGTATATGTGTGAGTGCCTGACTGCATATGTGTATGTCTATGCCTGCCTTGTGTTCTTAGGTATTTGAATACAATAGAGTGACAGGATGGAGTTGAGAGATTTTGTAACCACAGATTGACTTTAAGGTCAAGTTGTGTTTGTTCTCAGTGACCACTAGTAGACACTGAGTAGGTCACCCTGGCTAAAGAAAACACGCACTTACCAACAGTATCTGGTTTGGTAGCCTGGATGTGCATGTATCCAGTCTCCCGTAGCAGTCCCATCAATACCTTACTGCCATACGGGTAAACCTAGAAAAGAAATAGTCGACACATCTGAGTAAAAAAAAACAAGACTAGGTAGAAGCATCAGTGAATATTATCACCAGGTTTAAAATGGTTCCTAAAAGTTCTTCTCACAAAACTGAAACAAGTTCAAGTTCACCCCATTTACTGGGTCTGACCTTTTGATCTCCGACTGGTTTTGACTGTCAGTGTTGTCAACTTACCCTGTCTGGACTCACATACACACACACAGCTCAGCCACCCAAAGAAATACTTCCGTACCCACTGTAGGAAGCAGCTCAGAAGAGTAGAAATTGGCCACACAGACAGATTATGCCAGGAGAGTTGGTCTGCACTAAGAGAACAGTTTGCCTGGCATAATCTGTCTATTTGGCCATTCTACTCTAGATCTTTTCAGCCACTTCCCGAAGCCTTGTAGAGGCTACAAACGACGTACCCGATCATGTTCCTCAGGCTTTACACCGACCAGTGAGGGGAACACACTGCCCACCATGATGCGGAGGATTAACCTTGGGTCACCAGCGTTAACAAGCTGCATGTTGTTGTGCAGTCCCTTCACCACACTGCAACAATGGTACAACAGAATAGACCAATTATAGAGCGTTTTCATGTGAGATGATCACTGTGTTTGCCACATGCATGGATGTTGGTGTCCCTACGTATGATCAGTGAATCATGTTTTTAGATGTCTAACCTTCTCAAAGTTCTTTATCACAAAGGGCATCAGTCCTAGGTTTTAAACCAGAGTCAGAGACTTTTACTTCATCGACAACCCACATGGAAAACTAAAAATCTTTTGGAAGTCAAGGCTGTCTATCATTTACTCTCCTATCAAATAAATCACCTTGGCTTGAGTAGAGACATGATACGTGTGATAAAAGCACCCCAGTCTCCGCCCTGCATGTAGAACTTCTCAAATCCCAGTCTCTCCATCAGCTTATGGAATATCTGAGCAGCAGCCATCTGGTCAAAACCTGCACAGCAAATAAGCAACCAGTACACAGTTGTAACATGTTAATATGTACAACAATCAGCATTTAACTGCTTGACTGTCATTACTACACAGAATCCAGTATCTTTAAACATATCTTAAAGCATGCATGAAGGTATACGTGAAAGAATAAACTGCACCTTTACATGATTTAAAGAATGGATTTTTATGCAGTGCATACTCATAATGTAATTACGTAGGCTCTTTGTCTATTCTAATAGATGTGATGACTATTGAAAGCTGCATGCAAAACAAAAATGCAATTTTTAGTCAACGGTTCCATTCGATAAATTCTTAAGAACAATGTCAAAGATTCTCTTTCCCTAAGAATAAAACTCACCTTTTTTGTGTGGCATTTCGGAGAAGCCGTACCCAGGGATAGAGGGGGCAATGACCTCAAACACATCCTCCTCCCTCCCCCCATGACTAGTGGGATCTACCAACATCGGGATCATCTTATAAAACTCATACACCGAGCCTGGCCAACCGTGAACCAGCAACAGAGGCTTGGCGGTCTGGCCTGGCTTCAGTTTGGGTTTTACGTGAATAAAGTGTACATCAATTCCCTCGATGTTTGTTTTGTAATGAGGAAACGTGTTTAAGTACGCTTCCTGCTTTCGCCAATCGTACTTATCGCTCCAGTAGGCGACCAGACCTTTCATAAAGTCGACAGGGAAGCCATATTGGAATTCTACGTTTTCAAGAGCCTCGAACAAACGGACGTTTTTAAGGCGGTTTTTGAGATCGACCAGGGCGGTTTCTGGCACGTTTATGGAGATTTGGTGTATCTTGTCGTGATCTTTTGGTAGGGAGGATGGTTTCGCCCCCCTCCCCCAGTAGTTGTCTTGGAACTGCAGAGGTTCTGGAGGCGTCTTGAAGACGCCGGTAAGGATGACACCTGTTGCTATGGCAACCAAGACGATGAAGGTTGTCAGCTTCCAACCCATGGCTGTAAAGGAAATATGAAAAGTCTTAAAGATAGTCAGTTCAGGGGTAATAGTGCAGTTTGGCTGAGTAATGTGCTACTGGTCGTTGACCTTTGTTGTGCTACTGGTCGTTGACCTACTTATAATCGGATGATTGAAAATGCACAAACTGCACATTGTAAATAACTTACAGGTACAATGTACATGTAATCTCCCTATACAATTTACTGTTACTTAGTGTTAGTCTTATATATAAGGCACCTAGAGTTACATGTAAATTAACCTAGAGACATTTAGTTGACCCTGAACTTCGAACCAAGCGCAAACCAGCACCTTAATTAGTAAGACTAGAGACCACATCTAGCTTATACGTATACTGCATGTAACGTTACAACAAGATATTATGCACAAGTTTCCGAAAGAATGAGGAACCTGAAGGATGTTTAAAATCTGATTTTAAAACCTCCTTCCTCAAAAAATGACCGTGGAGTATGATCCTTACACTGATTTGAGACCCGCCCCCTTCAGTCAACTATAACCATGGATCGTATTGATTAATACTTCACAGTGGTTTGACAAAAATTATGATAATTTACTACTAACCTGATAAGATGGCCGCCAAGACGTTTTTCTAGACCGAGACGCAAAAATGTAGGGCGTTGTCTGGACACGAGTTGCTCTACCTTGAAAGAACAAACACTGTGACAGGCATGCCCAAAAAAGGCACTTTGGAATTGGATACCATTTTTGGGTGGCTTTATTTTATAAAGAATTGTTTTTGTTCCTTCCAATTTTTGTATAAAAAATGTCAAATCCAGCTTTGCGGTGGGGGTAAAGACTTCAGGTTTAAAATAAAGTTAAATTTGTTTCAAAGTGCTTGTTTGTAGTTGAATTCTAAAATTTATTTAGTGGCCCCTCCCCCCCAAAAAACACAAACCAAGACACGCACCTTACAGGTCACCTCTGGTCATTGACCTTTAACCTGGCCGCATCGACATAAAAGACCTCCGAAAATACTATGAAAGTATAAAACATAATAAACAATAGCCATTCATTTTATGAAATGATATTTTATACGTAAGAATAATAGAGGAGTTATGTTAGTTGAAATTTGACGTGATTTTATGCAAAAATGTCTTGAGTTTACTCCAAAAATATGGTTTGCTGCAGTTGTTTGCGGTAGCGGGTTGTTCAAGAGATGGCGGACATGGACGAAAAATAATGTTGTTCACTGAGAAGGAAAGTATTTTATGATGAATAAGCTGTCTTTCCGATGAAACATAGCCAGACGGGACAGTGAAATGAGTCAACTGATATTATTTGTCACATTTTGAGGTAAGTGTCCCAAGTCAGACGCTCTAAAACGATTTTTTGGCTGAAATTGACTCATACTATCATAGTTTCTGTTTTGGGATAAATTTACGTTCAACCGGTTCAACCTTGATACCTTGATACCGTCTTCGGGATGAGAGGTAATCCTGTGGTGATCCCGATCTCGACTTCACTCAGTGTTATACTTTATGCTCTCCCAGTATTTGTCTAGGTTCGTCTTGAACTCATTTACTGACTCTGAGTCAATTACGGCCTGTGGTAGACTGTTCCAATCCCTAACGACCCGGACGCTAAATGACTGTCGTCTAACTCTTCCCTTGGCCAAAGGGACCTCCAGTTTGCAACTGTGCCCTCTTGTTGATCCTTCTGTTCGCTTCTTGAAGAAGGATTCGAGTTGGATTCCCTCCAGCCCTCTTGCTAGTTTGAATACCTGTATCATGTCTCCTCTGCGCCTCCTATACTGTAGGGAGGGAAGACCTAAGGTCTTCAGTCTCTCCTGGTAGGGTAGATCCCTGAGATTCAGAGGGAGTTTGGTGGCCCCTTCAAAATTTATGTGAACAAACATGACAAAATGAATGATGTAATCACGGTTATGAATCTAAATAACACGCAGTTTTATAGAAATCATGATGTCGCAACCATCATAGAATACCACCAAGACTTTTATGTTAGGAATAACATAAGTAGTAGACACAAATTATATAGCTCAGAAAAATTCAAAAGAACAAGAAAAATAGTTATGCCTTAAGGTTATCAACCAAGGAATGAGGTGTTCAAGAATTCATTCTTTCTTAGAAGTATCGTGGAGTAGAGTGGAATTCGCTGTCACCAAGTGCAGTAGGGGCATTGTTACTAGATAGCTTTAAACATTGTCTAGAGTTAGATGTTCAAAGGTTAGGTGTAACAAGTCGATTGGTGTAAATTAGTACTGTAATGTAGCCAGCTGCCGCCGCGCCGCCTGCCTGCAAAGCTGGTGTTAACTTGAAAGTCAAGAAAAGCACTTATTTAATATTTCCCGAATGTCTGACATCTGATTTTTTTTTTCAGATCTACAAGACTTTTGGCTCGGTTCACTAAAAATTGTGTGAATGACCAAGTTGGGAGGTATGAAACACGGACATGGACACAGTCACCAGTGTGGATGTGGGAAACAGAGACTTCCCACTGCAGTACCACACGCAATCCCCAGGAGGAGTGGTTTTGCCTTCATCCAGCTGGTGAGCAGGTTTGCAATCGATGTGTTGGTGAAATGCTGGGCGCTGTGCAGCACAGGACTGCTGGCCGTACTGCTCTTCTATTGGCTGTACGGAGGATGGGTGGCGTCCATTGTGGTCTGGATCTCCATATTTGGTAAGTGTGAACTCCATATTTGGTAAGTGTGCACTCCATATTTGGTAAGTGTGAACTCCATATTTGGTAAGTGTGAACTCCATATTTGGTAAGTGTGAACTCCATATTTGGTAAGTGTGAACTCCATATTTGGTAAGGGTGAACTCCATATTTGGTAAGTGAGAACTCCATATTTGGTAAGTGTGAGATGCTAATCATTTTTAGCAAAAAATTGAAACAGGAAACACAATGTTTTTTTCCTAAGCTTGAGGTGTCTACAAGCTCCATAGTTTGCAAATACTTGATTTCATACTATACAATATAATTCATATATATAAACATGTAATATATAATACTAGTGTTATATATTGTTCAGTATTTGAATATTTTCCATTCTAGGAATCTTCTACAACTATCAAGACTATCTCCTGTACTATCCCGAGGTTCCCAAGTCCTCTCGACTGCTGGTCCAGTCACCCCAGGGTTGGAACATCCCCTTTGAGAGCCTCTTCATCAAAGCCAGGGACGGGACGAGGCTGCATGCACTCTTCCTCAAACAGCCAGAGGGCCTCGCTGCAAACGCACCCACTGTGCTGTTTCTACACGGAAATGCCGGGAACATCGGACATAGGTTTGCAATTGTTTTTGTGCTCAGAAAAGTAGAAAATTCTGCTTTGTACTAGATCTATATAGATTTTAAAAAAAAACAATGTACTGTCTTTTTTTCCATATTTGCCAGAAAATTCTTGCAATAAGGTAAACAAGTGTGTTGTAAAAAACAGTGAAAAGAGCACTGATGATATCTCACTTTCCAAAAAACAAAAACAAATAAATAAAGAGATTCTATGACATCCTCAAGGTTTACCAAACAAAATTTAACCATTTTCTCTCCTCTTTACACCCCCCTCCTCTTGATTTTCTACAGGTTAGTCAATGCAGTGGCCTTGTATGCAGCTGTATCAGTTAATGTACTACTGCTGGAGTACAGAGGCTATGGCAAAAGTGATGGCTCACCTACGGAAACAGGTATGGTGGTTTAACCTTCTTCCTGTTACTAGTACCGGTGCAATAGCTCAATTGGTAGAGCTTTGTAACCGGGAGGTTGTGAGTTCAAACCCCGGCCGGGTCATACCAAAGACTTTGGAAATTGTACACACTTCTTTCTCTGCTTAGCACTCAGCACATATGAGAAAGAGTGTGGGAAGGTCAAACACACAGCACTACCAGCAGACTAGCCCCCTACTGCACAACTGTCGCCCAAGGGCTATGGAAATGGAGATGGGCACCACCCTACGCTCTGCATAAGAGCATGGGAGATCTTCTTCTTCCTTCTTCTTATGTTACTAGTAGTTAGGTCTGTTGATATCATACATGTACCTGTATGTGATTAGGTAGGGCCTCGGAAAAATGTGTTTCCTGTTTCCCGACTGACCCTAGAAAAAACTGCCGACCCTAGCCCTTTTTTTGGTGGACCGCTGCAAGGGACAGAAATTTTTTCGAGCTTATGTCGTCTGTGTGGTGTAGTGGATAGAGCGTCCGACTGTCAAGCAAGAAGACCCAGGTTCAATCCCCTGGGTTGGACCCAGACATGTCCGGACATGCACCCAGACGTTGTGACCTTGGGAAAGGCACTTAAACACGTATTTCCCTCCTCAGTTAGAGGGTTCCTGGGCCCTACTAGGGTTTGGGTTGGCGTTAGGAAGAGCATCCAGCTGTAAAATCTTGCTTCAAAAAAAGACTTGTACTTGGTGCAAGCACGTCTAACCCCCAGTTGGGGAAAAATGATGTTAAATTCGGTTAAAAAAAAAAAATTATGGACCATTTCTAGCTCCATGATCTGACAATAATTCTTCTGTCTCTCATGTCTAGGTTTATACTTAGATGCTGAGGCAGCCGTTGACTTCCTCTACAGTAGAACAGACATTAACCAGAGGAAGATCGTGGTGTTTGGCCGTTCTCTTGGAGGAGCAGTAGGGGTCCACCTGGCCACCCATTCCATCTTCAGGGACAGGATATTTGCAGTCATACTAGAGAACACCTTCACCAGTATACCACACATGGCAACTATTATCTTTTCTATGAAGAGGATATTAAAGTGGGTTCCAGTGTGGATGTATAAAAATCAGGTAAGGGCTTGATGTATTAAAGTTAACCTTCATCTTGCTGTGGTGTTGTATTTCATCACAGGAAGAATTGAGGTGTTCATAAACATTGCAAGAAATTTTCCAAGAACTATCGTAGAGTAGAACTTGTTGCCACCAAGCACAGTTCGGGCATCATCACTAGAAAGCTTTAAACAACTCCTGAAATCAGTGTAATAAGTCGTTTGGTGTGATATAGCTAGCTGCCTGTGCATGTACATGTACATGTGAAGCTGGTGTGTTATACCGAAGGGCAGTTACATGTATACTGACTATACCGATACAGAGTATTTAGTCATGATGCAGTTTCTCATTCTTATTAGGTAAAGATAAGGAATCCTTTCACTATAAAGCTGAAGCCTTCTTTTTCTATTGGCTTGTGTACATATATTAAATATGCAATGTTGCTTTGTCATGGCTTGTTCTCGTATTGAAAGTGTGTTGGGCTCTTTAACATACAGGATTAATTGGTTAATGTCCTCTCCAAACATTGAATGTACAGGTACTTAAGTTGATTGCACTGAGCATCAGTGTTTTCAAATCTTCCCTGTTTTCTACAGTTTCTCTCTATCCAGAAGATTGGTCAGTGTAGCCGACCAACTCTCTTTGTCTCAGGACTGGCAGACCAGCTTATCCCTCCATACATGATGCAGCTAATGTTCCAGGTTAGTATGACTGTGTACACCTATTACATGTATAATACAACACAAGGTATTCTGTATTGCCCGAGGTACCAGCCCGACCGCGCGTCGGATTGCCCAAAGGCCGCAGGCCAGAGGGAGATCCGATCCGCGGGAAGGCTGGGACTGAGGGTGATGCGGAATACACCGTGTTGTATTTTATTTATGTCATACTCACCCAAGAAAACACGTCTTTCAATGCGAAATGACCGAAAATTTTGTGTCAATGGGAAAATTATCTAGTAAGAGAAAATTGTAATCATCTATATGATAGACAGGATTCTCAATGCTTGTGTCAATGAGATAATTGTCTAGTAAGCAAAAATTGTAATTATCTTAGTACATGATAGACAGGATTCTCAATGCATGTGTCAGTGTGAAAATTATCTAAGAGACCACCAAAAAAATGGCCACACTTGCCAGGTTGTTCTTTAATATGTAGACTGAGGTGCTCACTTGTACATGTTTTGACAGTTCAGGTACATGTACAGATACTGGCACAGTGGTTCGGGTATAGGTGCAAACCTGTTGAATATTTGCAGATTGATAACAGTCAATACTTGTTGGTAAATCCTAAATATTCCTTTTTTTGTTTCTTGAGATAACTTACACTTGACTTGTCCCTTGATTAGGAGTCTGGGTCAGTGTACAAGAGGATGTGTACCTTCCCCACCGGAACACACAACGAGACCTGGCAGTGTGAGGGGTACTGTGATGTCATCAGGAGATTCCTACAGGAGGTAGGTCAAAGGCTAAAGGTCAGGAGATGCATAGGAGGTAGAGCAAAGGTTGAATGTCAGGAGATTCCTACAGGAGGTGGGTTAAAGGTTAAAAGGTCAGGAAATGCATAGGAGGTAGAGCAAAGGTTGAATGTCAGGAGATTCCTACAGGAGGTAGGTCAAAGGATAAAGGTCAGGAGATTCCTACAGGAAAATGGTCAAAGATTAAATGTCAAGAGATTCGTACAGAATGTAGGTCAAAGGTTAAATGTAAAGAGATTCTTACAGGAGGTAGGTCATGTGTTTGTAACCGTAACTCTCACAAGATTGCGCTCGGAAGCGGTCATTAATTATCCTGATGAAGGCGATCAAAAGATCAACATTTTACTATCCTTTGTTTTGGTTCTTTGTTTCCACAAGTCAGGTAATTATCCTTATGATCACAATAGCCAATGGAAAAAGCGCACTAGTTAATTATATGTCGATTTGAATTGAATATTTTGTTTTATTTTCAGGTGTCCCAAGCCCATGGATTGGAAGACTCAGATGGAATAGACCATGAGCATACCATTATAGATATATGAAAACCCAAGCAATTTTGAATTACAAAAAACATGTGCATTCTACAACTCAGTGCCATGTTCTGAAAAAAAAAACATGAAATTTTTCTCCATGTACTAAAAAGAAAAAAAAAAATGCCTCTAAAACGAGGACTCTTCTGTGTGTTACTAACTGAACATAAAATCCTTCCCACATTATGTGGTACATAGGGCAGTGCCCATCTCTGTTTCATTAGCCCTTGGGCCACACATTCATGTATGTGCAGGCACACATAACACAATAGCAGGGAGCTAGTCCACTGGTACATGTAGCACCGTTTCTTTAACTTTCACACTCTATTTTTCCATAAGTGACGAGTGCTAAGCACTGATTATAGATAAAGCATGTCGGCAGAACATACTGAACTTGCACTAAACCCATAATGTATTAATTGTGCAAAGCACTTCGGCAGAACATCTCATATAAGGTCCTATTTGCGTACATAAAGTTAACATCCTGTCTATATTAACGTCGTATTTGTAATTGAAAGATGTCGTCTGCAACAGGCAAAATTCTGATGCAACGGTGACACAAGAAAACAATTAAAAATCTGGGTTTCGTACAGGCGCAGTACGTTCTGCCTACTATGTGCTTATAGTGAAGCAGTACCATTTTTAAAGTCTTTCTTTGACTTGATCTACTGCATGCTAGGAATCATGCCCTATTGCATGCGAAACAAGCACTAAGCTATTGCTGCAGCTGCTATCACTATTGTCAGAAATGTGCTTGCACTGTATACCTTTATACAGGCTAGCTTGCTGTATAAAAGAAATAATAATAAAACAAAACACCCTAACAAAAGTGCATTAGTAGCAGCATTCCCTTGTGTAGTCACCAGTGGCTAACCTAAAACAGAGTTTCGTACAAAGTGACTACTAAGTCCATTCTTTATACTTAGGCCACACCAATTTAATTTGTTGGTTCTCGGATTCGCCTCTTCGTTTTTTTCTGATTTAGCAAAAAAAAAAAAAATTGATTCTGGTCCTGAATCAACTGAAAAATGCTCATGTTTTGCCCCCAACAGTTGAGGAAAGTCCTTTTCTTCCTAGTTGTTACAGTTTTCCCATCTATCATTGCAGTGGTTTGATTAAAAGTTCAAAATTCAATGTTTAAATTTTAACCCAGCCTTTTGTGTTGACTTCATGGCTCATTTTGTAGCATTTAAGCCTATAATAGGATGCCAAGACCTGTTTTTATTTTTATTTTTTTTCGCCCTGTCGCTTCATATTTTTTCTGAAAAAATCCGAGAACCAACAAATTAAATTGGTGTGGCCTTAATAGCAATGCAATGCACTGATCTCAAGCATTTTAAAGAAATCAGCTTCTTATAAGCTTTAATTTGCAAAGAATCAATCATCACGAAGACATATCAAGAACTAAATTAGACAAGTTTTTAATAAACTAAACAGTTACTATTACAACTGATTTCTGTATTCTCACAGGTGAATAAAGGAACTTTTTAGAAAAATGTTTGAGGTCTTGCCTATACTTTTAATTGTCATGTGCCCTAGACACCATGTTCTGAGTGTCATTTACATTCAATTTGATATTATGATTTTACCATCATGATGATAACTATTGAGTACGGTATATGTTGCATTGGTCATTTTTATTTTAAAATCCTCTAATTTTTTTTTCTTTCAAATAAACAAAACTATTACATTGTTATTATATGAGATATTCCATACACTTGATAATACTTGATGGTACACTTGTTACATTTAAGCTTAGAGAAGCTACATGTACTCATGAATGTTGTGTTGTTTAATCCCATTTTGGTCTCGATTTCTTCTATAATTATACTATTAGTAAACTTTTTAAACAGTTCATAACAATGTCATGTTGTTGCTTTACATACCAATAGTATAACTATTCAAGTATACAAATTGGTAAAATGAGAAAAATTTGTAAATAGTCCTGTATATCTCTAATAACAACTTTGTTAATTTTGGATGTTTTGCTTGTTTTCATCTTTTCTTGACCAGCATATTGATATGCTGTCATGAAAGTAGGTACTACAATATAACTATATATTCATTGGGAACATAAGTGTTAAATTATGGTATTATTCATAATTCATCTAACATCCTAAGTTAATTTTGTCTGTTTTGTCTTCTCTTGACCAGGTTGTACATGTTGCCCTGCTGTCCTGAAGGCATGTACATGTATGTGTATGTGGTCCCTCAGTCACACTTCTTGAAAATTCGTTTGCAGACGAGTCCCTTGGGTGTAGTGATTATCTAAAAAGAAAAAAAAAATCAGTTACCTGTCTTACAATCAATACAGTATCCTCTATTAGACTTCAATAACGGATGGGAAGAGTGAAAATTGGTGAAATAGGTAACATATACATGTACATGTACCAGGGGAGTTGGTCTACTAAAAAAAAGGAGTACATTTTCCACAAAATGATGATCTACTGAAAGAAGATGCTGAAAGCAAATGTACTCCTTTAGCAGACCATCTCTCCAGGAATAGTATCTGCGTATTTCTACTCTTTCAAGCTGCTTCCAAGCCTGTTAGAGGCTATCAATACCATACAATGCCATTCATTTACCTTTGTGTTGGCTTTATATATACACAGATTTGTACAGTAGTCATACCATTGAAACAATTCTTGGTGTCACCCTTGTCTTGACTTGTCCACCTTTGGTTTCCTTTTGGACTTTCAAAACAACTTCACTTATTTGCATTTCAATTAATAATGCATACATATAAACCTGCTTTTCTGACAACTCTCCAGTGGCACTAACGAAAGGTAGCTATATATAAGGGTGGATGCTATTTGAAATTTCAGTTTCCAAAGTCATATCCAGTTGCCTGAGTAGCTTTTTTTTTTGGTGTATCTTATTACCTGGATGTCTAACCTTCGCCGACAAATTCTTGGTGTCCTAATTTTGAACTGGAGATGTGAATCCTAGGGTTGAAATAACTCACCATCATCAGTTCACCTCCCTCCACATGGCGGGTAGTGACAGTTTCTCCATTCTCTCCCGTCTCTTTCATCACAAGTTTGCCGTCCTCCCAACTCGCCACGGCCTGTACATGGATGTGGGCAACATGGGACAGGGGTTAATTTATTAAACATAGCACAGTTGCAGTATGTTGATTTACAAACAAACCAAAACAGCAAGCAAACAGAAATAGCACTGTCTAATGTCTATACTGAATGATGATCTTATAAAAGCTGTATTATACGTGAACTGTTAGTTGCAATTTTCACAAGTTAATCATAGAACTAGAAAGGTAACCTTTGCAAAGCAAATTCATGATATTTATACCTTCACAATCAGTCTAGCTCAACAAACTACTGCATGCTCTGTTTATTCTTACTCAAACATGTTCATATAAGTATAGGACTGTACATGTCTATGGTGAGCAGCCACTCTAGCTGTTAGCTGTCAACATGTCCTGCTACATAATGTAACCCAACACCATAGGGTGCCTGCTACAGTACCAGTTACCACGGTGACAGACATCTGGTCCAGGTCATGGAGTTAATTTGTTTGGAGAAGAAGAAGAGGAAGAAACAGAGCAAAAACAATGTGTAAACATAATAATTAGAAAAATGAATTTGGATCTTTATGAACAAATTTGATTCTCCACATCTGCTTGGACAGGAAGTGACCCCTGACCTTGTTTTTCTTTCCGCCCCACTCGGATTCAAACTCAGTGCCGATGGTGAACTTCATGATGTTGGTCGACATGATGGAGCTGAGCTTGATCTCAAGATTGTCCCCGTTTATAATAACCTCCTGGGTAGGGCTGGACTTGGCTGCTGCCTTACGGGCTATCCAAGGAGCACCTGTGTGGAAGGAAAAATGTTGGAACAGTAGGTACAGTCAAACTGCCCAAGGTGACCATTCATTGAACCGAAGAAAAGTGGTCACCTTGGACAGGTGGTCTCCTTGAAGAGGGTCGCCTCAAGTCAAAACATGACTGAGGCATAAATCGTTTACAAGTCAAGATGTTTTTTAATGTCAAATGCTGTAAGCATATGTCGAACAAAAAACAGTATAAGACAAAGAAAAAGAAGAGAAAAAAAAAACAGCCATAAATTTTAATCATCCTCTAGTTGTGTTGTAACTACTTGCTATAATAATTACAGGCATTTTCAATGGATATAATCAACCACAAGGAATAATGTACAATGAATAACTACTAATTGATATTCATAAAACCCCCACGTCTTGATACACACAATGATTTGTCCCTGGGACAGCCTAGCAAGAATTCTGATGCCCGAGCGGTCAATGACCTGGTAAATGCGAAGGCCGTAACAGCCTTGGCAGCTGCTTGGAAGCATGAAAAATTCTTTGTACATTATCAAATTGCAAGTCAGCAAGATTACATGATATTGATTTTAGTATTTTAGACTGATTCACTCGTTTTTAGGCTGAAGTACATATATAGGTCACTCCTTTACAAATTAAAGATACACTATTATAAGACCACGCCCACAAGTTTTTTTTTCCTCTTTTCCAGTCGTTTTCTTCATTAAAAGTAGACTGATACTACATGTACATTGGGTCGTACCATATGAGGTATTGCTGCATTACGTAATGCCTTTGCAAATGAACTTTAGTCACGTTGTTACAAAGTTCATTTTTGTAACTGAAGGACATTGAGAATTTTGAGAAAATTATCCAACATCTTACCCATTTCTTCGAGGAACTCCTCAAAGTTCTCGCTGCGATCCAGCTTCCACTTGCCCGCTATGCTGTCGTCTGCCATGGTTGTGAGTCACAGCTACTGTACTGTCGTACAAATGTCGTGAGAAGTTGAAGCCAATCGCTACCGCGTCCTTACACAGTTGGATCGTGCGGGCAACTGGTTGTTGCTGGGTGCTGCACGACCCCGATATGTAACCTTTGCACTTTGACCCGGCAAGTGTGCCTCAACTGAGCGTGTAAGAGTATTCTCTCATTAATTACTGAGATTTAATTCATACGCATTAATTACTGAGATTTAATTTATACCTCCGGACGTTTTAGCACTTCTATCAATCGTGATCATCTTTTAACCAGCAAACATCAACAAAAATCTACAGAAATCCCTGACCGCTCCATCCCCTAAAGTATCGAGTGAATTGTCCCCTCCAGAACAGCGCTGTCTACCCGCTCACCTGCTATCTAGACAAGTAATGGAACGTCCCATTTCTGTCTGTGGCGGGAGACGAACCACTACATTGTGTGGGGGGGGGGGTAACGGTTCGTCTACGTTTTTTCCAATAGAAAATCAACTGCAACGTGGTCGTTATAGCTAATTCTACAAATAAACAAAATGAAAATACCGGTATTAGTGACATTGTACCTGTAAATCGTAAATAAAAAGTTTGGTTACTAATATAAAAATGTCTCACTCTTTCTGCCCCCTACCAATAAAGTGCAGTAACCCCAAGTTTTGGTAACCCATATTAAAAATACAAAGTTCAAGACGTTTTTGTTTAGATTATTTGCTGCGATAACAATTTTTATGCTGAAGTAGTTCTTTCCAACATGATTAGATAAGCTTATATTTTCATGTTCTTAATAAATAATTCTATGAATCCTGCCTGAACCATTGATCAAGAAGGTATCTTACACTTTATTTATCTTTCTCTTTGGATAGAAAAACTTAAAGAAGAGTATTCGTGCAGAAATAAACATTCTTACACAAATTCTATGAATAACTTTCGTTATATTTTCCAACAATAACTCCATGAAATTGAAAAATAAAAATATTTCACTATTGTATTCCACCCATATTGCAAAATGCTCTGCTCCATCCCTGTAAGGACCAATTACCAGCCGAGTTCTGATGACGCATCCAAACTCAAATCCGCGCCATTGCGCCATTCCAGTTTGGGATAAGATCGCGGAGAGGGAGCCTGTCATGGAGTTTCAGAATCGTCAGCACTGAAGGTGAGAATTTTTCCAATTTTTATGGCAAAATTCCATAATCTTCCCATGTGATAGCTTGTACGGTATCTGTAGAGCAAGTATAGCGTATTTCCTCGTTTATTTTGATGATTTGAAATCAATTTTGACCGAAATGTTGATGACGTTGGACGGTAGGTTTAGCCCGAAATTGTGCAATTATTAAAATGCCGAACATTTTCCTGTCAGAAGTTCCGCAAAAGTGTCTCAAGTTGCACAAATTTGGTTCAGAACTTGGTTATCATGACCCAAATCGTTCATTTGCCTCCGTCTTTTGAAGTTTTCCCGGTATTTTCTGTAAAAAAATTCTTGTAGACTGGAGAGCAAGGTGGTTCACGCTCAATAAACTTGTATAGATGGTCTGAGGTCTACAGTTTCTACCAAATTTACGTCAGAAAAATCAGACAAAATGATCTAGAAGCTAGTACTATCACTGTCAGCTTTTTTGGTCCAGAAAAAAGGTGAGAAAAATTGTACACAGACTGCATATTTGTGGGCGGGGAAGCTAGTGGGTCGTTCCGTGTATATACCCGTGTGATACCCGGTACTAAGTCCTGGGGCTAGCTGAAGTTAACAATAATTTAGAACAGTAAAAGTTGGATTTTTACAATCTTAACAGTTTATTACATCAACTCTATGTGAAGAAACTTCAAGTATTCGCGGCAGTATTCCTGAATTTTGGTCGCTTTTGTTCAGCGTTCGACGGAGATGTCAATCATTTGTGGTACATGCAAATGAACCAGCAATTTCGTTGTTACGTCAGAATTTGAACACAGTGTTTTACCACAAATTTTTACCTCAAAATTGTCGTCAAAAAGAACCAAGGCCTTAGTAACGTGACTTTTAGCGGTGTTTTTCGTAAGATTTTGGTAAAAATATGGTTTACCGGGTTACTGTACACAGTCGGCCGGCCAAGTTGAAAGTTCCCGCCCGGGTTCAGTTTGGCATTGTCCCGTGAACACGGGGCAGGTAAAAACTTGCCCAAGACTCATGTTCCCCCACACATTGTTCTCAGAATTTGTAGGGAATAGGTTCCGCCATCTATTAGTGTAACATTTGGCTGTATTTTTCGAAAGATTTCGGCAAATATCTTCACCAACTGTATTGTCCGCTGGCCAGAACAAGTGGGCCCCTCTCGGGTTTTGGCACTGCCCGGTGGGGTCCTGAAGTAGCCGGGTGGTTGTAATACGTCAAAACTTGCTCAAAGAATCATGTTGCTTCACAAATTTTCCTCAGAATTTGCACGGAAAAGGCTCCGGCACCTATTGATACAACTTCTAGCTGTATATTTCTAAAGATTCGGTAAAAATCTTCAAGTTGGTCTCGCCCAGGTTTTGATCATTGCCCGGTGGGGCCCCGAAGTAGCCGGGTAGTTGTTACCTCAAAACTTGCTAAAAAATCATGTCCGCTCACACATTTTCCTCAGAATTTGCAGGACAAAGTTCCGGCACCTAGTAGCATAATTGTTTTTAGCTTTGTTTGTCGGTAAAATGTTTTAATTGGCATTTTTAAAAATCCTTACACCTGTTTTTGCTCACTTGCAGCTCAGCAGCGCCGCCTGGCTTAGCAGCAACGAAATGCAGGGCAACCGACTGAAAGCCAACATGCATTCTCTGCAAGGTTAGCCATCTTATTTTCCACATTCTGTTGCGCTTTTTAATGATATGCATAACATCTGTAGTTTGCCAAGTGATTTTCTAATTATTTGAACACATCTTTCTCAACTTCGGGTCTGTCATTATGATTGTTGTCACTACTGTCCATATTGCCATGGCAACTTGTAAACTTGTGCTGATATGTATTATTTCTGTCTACAGAACACTGAAGGAGGGATGGTGTTGATTCCTGTACTCCTTCTGCAGACCAGCTTTTATTGAATCCACTTGCAGGTACTGTGGTTTCTTGTGCTGTTTTCCACAATAAAAAAAATCTATGCAAAATAATTTGACATTACTGTATCAAACTATGGAGGTGGTGTCCTTTACCTCCATGATCAAACTGTGGTAAGGGGAAGCTTTCAATGATTATGAACATGATAGTAGTGAACTTTGTATTTCTTTCCTTCTTATCTTCTACAGATCATCCCTTGTACTGTTGCCACTGATGTCATGGTTTCCAGGCTACTCGAAGTATGCAAGCATCGAGAGGAGTCAGCTAGCCAAACAGGATTTGTATGATATCCTTTTCAGCTAATGGTATAGAGGTACGGGTGGGGGGCAATTTGAGCAAAACTCTACTTTGGTTTTGCTCAATAAATATCAACAGTGTTAAACATAGGGACATTTTGGACATAAAGTGCCTTGTGTCAACTAGAATTCTTTGATAACTTTGAATAAAAGTACTGGGGTTCTAGGGGAAAGTAAGAACTCATATATAGATAAGAAAGCTGCTGAGGTCATGAATGGAAGGAGGCATCGCGGGACTACAAGAGAGAGAGAACAATTTAATTTGCAGATGACTATGAATATGTGTTTTGGCAAATTGTTAGGCACAATAACTGTATTAGATTTAAATTAATAAATTGCAACAAAGTGATTTTCACAGTCCAACTCTTGTAAGTGAGAAGATGGACATTGAAGATGGAACAGTGTTGTGAATGTTAACGCCACCGTCTTGTAATGGGAAAAGGCGGAACACTGACACAGAAATCATTTATTAAAAATGTTTTTCCCATCTTGTAAGTAAAAAGGTGGAATTTGACAAGCTTTTTTCTTCCATCTTGTAAGGAATAAGATGGAATGAGTTTTTCTTATCTTCCATCTTGTAAGTGATAAGATGGAATTCAAAGAGTTTCTTCTTCCATCTTGTAAGTAAAAAGGTGGAATTTGAAGAGTTTTTTTTTTCTTCTTCCACCTTGTAAGTGATAAGCTGGAAGACAGAACACATTTTACTGCCAATCTTGTAAGGGAGAAGATGGCATGTTATGATAACTTTCTTGAAAAAGACTGAGAAAAACCTAAAGACGTCCCAAAGATGAGACTGCAACCACCACAAGCACTACCATCTCCACACGGATCATCGGATGAATACATTGAATAAAGACTTTGAAAATACTGTGTCATTATTCTGAATAAAGACTTTGAATAAAGATTTCGAACAATGATTTCGAACTAAGATACCAAATATTAAGGTCATTGTGGACCTTGTTAAAGTAATCGGGCTAAAATTGAACAGAAATTTCAATTGCTTTAGTTTCACAAGCTAAAAGGCAGAATCACTTGCCCTTGGCCTGCTATCTGAAGTTCACACGCACTTGCCTTTAGATCAGGGAAGGTGAGTTAAACACTAAATTAGAGCAGGGATGTAGTTAGTGGCTGAAGTGAGTGTGATGATTCAGAGAGCACTGGCCTTATTTGAGGGGGGGGGGTGATGAAAATTAAACACAAAACATCTTTTTCCAAAATAGATATATATAGAAGGCAAAGTTGTTAAGGTATGGCTAAAAGGCACACCCCAAATTTTTAGCTTAGTCAACGATCTCAAGAGGACACCTGTTATTTTTATGTTAAGCCACTACCCAGAAGGTGAGCCATGTAATTAAGAACTGTATGCGTTACTAACATGTGCTTTCTCTCCTCATACTGCTTGCAAAAAGGGGGGTCCTTTTCAATACCTTCTAGTAGTCTGTGGTTAGGGCCAAACCATGATGGTTTTTTCTATCCCCATGATGGGAAGGGAACTGGGGTCCTTGCCGGAGTTGGGAATTCTTTTTGTTTTCGCACACATTGTTCACACTCTGTAAGCTGCTCTGAAATAAAGAAACTTTGAGAACTGACTGTGGTGTGAGTTATTCGCGATTGTACTTTGCGCGTTTTTTTAAATATTTTGCGCCAATTTTGATGGACACCACTTCTGCGGAGCTTTGAGGTTTGTATTCTGCAGGTAAATGTGTGAGTACAAATTAAAATTTGTTTTTCTTGACTGAATCTTTTCTAACTATTTT